TCAAACATTTCACTACAAGAAAACATGCTTATTTCTGACGACGTTTCCGACAACAAACTATCCGTCGAAAATTTCTGACGGCATAACGACGATTTTTTGATGAAAATAAATTCATTGGAAATTAGTCGGAAATTTCCGACGGAACTATATCCGTCAAAAATTCGTGAGATATTTCTGACCCATTTCCGACAAAATAAATCCGTTATGGATTTTCGACGAATTTTCGATGTATTTTCGACGAAATAAATCTGTTATGGATTTTTGACTTCCAACGAATATTGTTGCCGTTTATAACCGTTAAAATATTAATAATATCCGTCGGAAATCTCTTAAAAATCCGTCGAAAATGCGCGTCCAGTTTCTCTATAAATACAACTCCACTTCTCTCACTTAGTACCACAATTAAAAAAAAACTCATCTTTAGTGATGTTTTCTTCAGATCCTTATAAGTATTTCCGATCATGGATGGACAAGCCTCATCAAATTCCAACGACGGACCTACTTACAGAAGAGTACAAAGAAGGTCTGCAACAATTCATGAAATTTGCGAGTGCACAGCCGAGAGCCAAAAAGTCCGGTAAAATTTACTGCCCTTGTAGTAATTGTCGGAATCGTAGACACCTCTTAATAAGCGATGTATGGTCACACTTGTATTGCAATGGATTTGTGGTGGGTTACAAAATTTGGTATTATCATGGAGAAAATGATACAATAGTAGATTATGGTAGTACTAGTGAACAATATGCTGGGAATAGCTTAGAGGAACCTAGAACGGATCAAGTAGAAACTATAGGTCATGTTCAGATGGTGAATGATGCGTTTCGTGAAAGTATAGCATCGGTTGCTGAGTACGCAGATAGAGGTGAAAAACCTAACTTAGAAGCTCGAAGGTTCTTTGATATGTTAGATGCTGCTAAGAATCCGTTATATGATGGCTGTAGAAAGGGACATTCCCCTTTATCAGCTTCAACTAGGATGATGGGTATAAAGACAGATTTCAATTTGAGTGAGGAGTGTGTGGATGCAATAGCTGATTTTATGAAAGATATTTTGCCGGAAGATAATCTTGCACCAGCATCATACTATGCGATACAGAAACTTGTTATTGGTCTTGGGTTTCCGTATCAGATGATAGATGTATGCATCGACAACTGTATGATCTATTGGAGAGAGGATTCAGACCATTCGAAATGTAAATTCTGTCAAAAAGCTCGGTATAAAGAAACAAGTGAAAGAATGCTAATCCCATATAAACGGATATGGTATTTGCCGTTAACAGAGAGACTAAAGAGGTTATATCAATCAGAGCGCACAGCAGCGACAATGAGATGGCATGCAGAGCATACAACAACGGATGGAGAAATAGCTCATCCCTCAGATGCGAAAGCGTGGAAGCATTTTCAGTCTGTTTATTCGAGTTTTATGTATGAGGCAAGAAACGTGTACCTTGGATTATGCACTGATGGTTTCAATCCTTTTGGGAAGCATAGGAGGCAATATTCGTTGTGGCCAATAATTGTAACACCTTACAATTTACCCCCATCTTTGTGCATGAGAAGAGAGTTTCTGTTTTTAGTATTCTCAGACCAGAGCATCCAAAGAGATCACTGGATGTGTTTCTTCAACCATTGATTTATGAGCTGCAAATGTTATGGGAGCATGGTGTTCAGACTTTTGATGTTTCTTGTCATCAGAACTTTCTCATGCGGTCGGTACTTATATGGACTACTAGTGATTTCTCAGCATATAGAATGTTATCTGGATGGACGACGCATGGAAGGTTGGCATGTCTTTCTTTTCAAGATATCACATATGCGTTCCAAATGAAGAACGTATGAAAAACATCATGGTTTGATTGTCATAGGCGTTTTCTTCCAAGCGACCATCCATATCGAAAGAGCACGACGTTGTTCAGAAAAAATCGTCGAATATTTGATGGTCCACCTCCTGAGTTAGATGAACATTATGCGTTGACTCAGTTTAGAGATTATGGTGCAGAAAGGACTGTTGAATGCGGTGGTAATGGGCATTATCCTGTCAATGCTTGTGGAGACCAACATAATTGGCACAAGAGGAGTATTTTTTGGGATTTGTCTTATTGGAAGGATCATTTGTTGAGACACAATCTTGATGTCATGCACATTGAAAAGATTTTTTTTGACAATATAATGAACACCGTTCTCAATGTCCAAGGGAACACGAAGGACAATCTGAAGTCTAGATTGGACTTGCCAGAGTATTTTTCTCGTAAGATGCTACATGTATCAGCGAATGGGAAGGCTCCAGTCCTTGCATTTCGGTTAGATACACCTTCAAAGGCTGAGTTTTTTTACTGGATTGCCGAGAGCGTTAAATTTCCAGATGGATACGCTTCTAACCTTCGAAATTGCATTGATCGTGGAGAAGAGAAGTTTTCTGGGTTGAAAAGTCATGATTGTCATGCTATGATGCAACGCCTCCTTCCATTTGCTTTTGCCGGTCTTCTACCATGTAATGTCCATGAAACAATTGCAGATTCTTTTTATAAACTATTATATTAATTATTTTTATATTTGACTTTTTTTCAGGTATGACTTGGATCTTGAAATAAGTAAGGTTATAATGCGGATGTTCCATACCATTTGGATGGCTGTATGAGACTTACTCGCTTATGCCGCGAGACGTTAAGGATACATGGCGTTGAACGTTTGCTGTAAGTTTCATTTAATTATTTTTATAATTTTTATTTTCTAACTTATATTTTCTAATAAAGTTTTTTCATATTTTTTTTAATTGTAGCAACATTACACATGAGACTCGTGGAGGACCCAAACCGTTATCGATGCGTTTGACAAGTTTACTGCAATCCAATACTCTAGACACATGAACGAGTGGAAGCAGAAGTTTCTTGAGCAGAAAGAGATGCCGAGAGATCTGACACAAAACGTTTGGAAAGGTTTTTGTGAGTATTGGAGTCGGCCAGATACAAAGGCAAAGTCAGCAAAAAACTCGAAGAACCGCAAAAGTGAACGAGGAGGAAAGGGAATCTATGTCCACATTGGTGGCGCAAAGTCGACTCTCCGTGAAGTGGCTGAAATGGTAAGTAAATTTATAATATTTTCAATAAGTTTATTTTATTTTATTTAATTTTAATATAATTTTGTTTAAAGACGAGAGAAGCAGGTGGAGTCGTTCCCGATTACCTCAACGTAATGGAGAGGAGACACACTAACAAAAAAACCAAAGAAGTCCAAGATATCGGTGTTCGTGAGGTTGTGGAGAAATGCAAGAAGAAGAAGATTGATCGCATCAATGAACTCTCGCAGGAAACGGTTGATGGCTCCATTTCATCAAACGACCTAACCCGAGATGAGATCAACAACATTGTTCTCTCGGTAAGTTTTGTTTCAATTATTCTTTTTTAAATTATTTTTTCTAATTGTTTGTATTAACTCTTGTAAATATATTTTCAGGAAGTTCGAAATGTAAAGGGTCGAACCGTTGGATTAGGTTCACTTCCGAGATTTTAGGGAGTTGAGTCGTCGTCTTCTTCTTCTGGTTTCGGTTATCTTCCAACTCAGTATCAAGCTGAGATCGAGAGGCTTAGTCAGGAAGTCAAAGAGCGAGATGCCGTTGTTGAGGAAATGGGGAAGAAGCATGAGCAGTTGGAGTCCGAGCACCAAACGACTCGTGACGAATTACGGAAAATGAAGGATATAATGGAAGTCAACTTTCCGGATTTGTTTAAGAAGTAGTTTGTTTAAAACAATATTTTTATTGTCTTTTAATTTATTTTTTTAATTATAATTTCTTTTCAATATTGATTTTATTTATTTTAAATTATTTTTGTATTTTTGTATTTTTTAAAAAATATTTTATTTATTATTTCTTGTCGGAAATCAATCAAAAAATACCCAACAAATAGTACCATCACAAATTCATCGGAAAGGGTTCCATGGGAAATCCGTCGGAAAAGGATCCGTCAGAAAAAAATCCGTCAGATATCTGTCGGAAATTAAAACCATCGGAAATGCGTTGGAAAATTGTCTGAGGACTGATGTTGTCGGAACTTTATCGGTTTACACTCATCGGTAATCCATCAGAAAGTTAATACGGATTACCGACGACTTGCTTTCGTCGGAAATTTGAAACGATTTTCCGACGACTTGCAACATTCCGACCACTTGTAACCGACAAACCATTTTTATCGAAAATCCGTAGGAAATAACTGTTTCCGACGGTTTTTCGACAAAAATAGCTATCAGTTTCAAGCTTCTTTCTTGTAGTGTTTGGTTCTTCGTGAGCCAATCAAACCGTAGAAACAACACTTTCCAAGCAATGTTTAATTTAGCGCAAAATCAGCCAAGAGAAAGTCTCATTTGCATTGTTTGTGAACTGTACCACCAACATAATCAACAAGATTAATTTCTAACAGCCCTCATATATACAGCAATCAAAGCATGATCAGTTCTAATATGTTATCTGTATTAAAAAAAAATATAGTTTTAAACACCTTGAACTTCTGTAAATATTAAATACCTTGAACTTATGTGTAATTTGATATATAATTGTTGTGTACGGGTTTGGACCCCAAAAAAAGTGTTGTGTACGGGTTATTAAGAAGCAATAACAGAAAATTCTCTTCCAAATCTCTTTTTATTCTTTAATAATCTTTTAATAAACCAACCAACCATTTATACAAAGTACAAACCTCCCCCTAAATTTTTAAAGCTTTTGCCGTTATTAAATGTTTTAAAATATTTTGGGAACGTCTTTTAATTCTCCGAGAGGTACACTTTTTTGTTTTCTTTAGCTCTTTTGTTTTTTTTCTGAAAACTAACTTTTTAGGAGATTACCTTACAAAATAAAAATAAAAAAGTTAAATAAATTATTCGTCTACCACCATCGGAAACGGACAAAAGACTTCGACTACCCCACTCAGTGGCACAATCCTGTAATTTCCACTAAAACATTATACCCTTTCTCGAATTCATCGTCATCTTTGTTTTTAATAAGACAGTACCTTTTGCTCCATTTTCAATTTTCTTTTTTCACAGAGAGAAGAGCGATAAAGCAGCAGAAGCAAAAAAAAGAAATTAAGCTCCCATTGATTTTTCTTATTTCTAATTCTTGATTTTGTATCAATGGCTGGAATCACTGGAATCTTAAAGCTCGAAGCTTGGAGTATATTGTGAAGAAGAAAAGAAAAACGATTTTTTTCTTTTCTGGGTTGGATTTTCTCTTTTCTTTTTTCATTTTTTACTTTCTTACCGGAAATGGCATGTCGGAGTATGATCGCTAGTAGCTTAGATCCTGAACGGAAGCAAAGTGGAGGACTTAGAACAAAACAAGCAGGAAGAGGATCTTGCCGTGGAAGTTAGTCTTTGCTCTTCCATAAAAATCAATCTCCTTATAAAGAATGTAATAATGGGTATTTTTCCCTGGGTTTCCTGAGATTCGTTGAAAAGTTCAGTTTTTCAGTTAAAGTTTTAATTTTTGTTTTCTGGGCAGTTTGAAATTGCAGTGTTGCAAGTGAAGATCGTTCTTAGTTGAAGCTGAGATAAAGAAAGAGAGAAGCTATGGGTGTTTTGCTGAGAGAAGCGTTGAGATCTATGTGCGTTAATAATCAATGGTCTTATGCTGTTTTCTGGAAAATCGGTTGCCAAAATTCAAGGTACTACTAACAATTCCATTTTCTAATTACCAAAACCTAAGTTAGATCTTTCAAGGTCTGAATGAAGTTTATATTAGTCAAATTGTGATGTTTGTTTGTTAGTTTAAAGTTTGGGAATTTTTGATTTAAAGGGGTTCTTCGAAACTCAGATCTCGAGGACTAGTAGAATTATTTATCTCTGTTTCCCTGTTTATTTTCTTGGAGTTTTGTGTTTGGTTTAATCTTGGTTGTCTAAAAGAATCTTTCGATTTGTAGTTGTGTTTCTTGACAAAACCATATCCTTTACTTTGGTTGGTTCATTGTTTATGTATTGTCTTTCAGGTTCATGTCTTTGTTCTTAACTCACTTGTCATTTCATATTTTTTTTGTTTCTTGTCCTTTTCGTTTTGTCTTTGTTTATCCGAAAATCTTTTGTAATAGTAACTTAAATCATATTGTCTCCTTCTGGTACTCAAAAATTGTGTTTCAAGGATCTTAAGAATTCCACTAATTTCTTCTTTCTTCCTTTGTGCAGCTTGTTGATTTGGGAGGAATGCTACAACGAAAGCTCGCTTCCTCAAAGACTTTCTGGACTTGGCATTGATGCACAAGGGAATGAGAAAGTTCAGTTACTTACAAACAGAATGATGTTGAACAATCGAATCATTTTAGTAGGTGAAGGGTATGTATCTATCTGTGTCTCTCTCCCTTCTTATCATTTTCGATTTGTCTAATAATGTGTTTGGCTTCAGGTTAGTTGGCCGAGCTGCATTCACAGGACATCATCAATGGATTCTAGCAAACAGTTTCAACCGCGATGTTCATCCTCCTGAGGTTATAAATGAGATGCTTCTCCAATTCTCTGCTGGTATTCAGGTTTGTATACTTTATATTCGGTTTTTTTCTCGGATTATTGTAAAATTTTCGGCTTTTTGAGTAAGGTTTGATCCGTTTCTTGGTTCTTCAGACTGTTGCAGTTTTTCCGGTTGTTCCTCATGGTGTTGTTCAGCTCGGTTCCTCTCTCCCTGTAAGTTTTGGTTCGATTTAACATCGTAGTTATTCACATTCTTGATTCTTGATCCTTTCCAAGTTACATTGTTACGCAAGATGAGATTCTTGATTCTTGATCTTGTTCTTGATTCTTGTTCTTAATTCTTGTTCTTGATTCAATTGTAAACTGTCATGTGTTCAGATTATGGAGAATTTGGGGTTTGTGAATGATGTGAAGGGTCTTATCCTGCAACTCGGATGTGTTCCCGGAGCTCTCTTATCTGAAAGCTACAGAACATATGAACCTGCTGCTGATTTTATCGGAGTGCCTGTCTCTCGTATAATACCTTCTCAAGGACACAAGATCCTTCAATCTTCGGCTTTCGTAGCTGAAACAAGCAAACCGTATTATAACTCATCAGATCATCGGAATGATCAGATGGTTGAAGAAGCTTCATGTAATCTTGTGGATGAACAGCTCAAGCAAGCAAATATGGGAGATAGACAACAAGGAGGATGGCAAAGCACAATGGAAGTGATACCAACTTCGAATCCCGATGCGTGGCTGAATCAAAACTTCTCTAGTAGTATGTCTAATGTGGATGCTGCAGTAGAGCAACAACAAATCCCATGTGAAGACTCAGGCTCAAAACGTTCAAGCGACGACTTGTTTGATATGTTGGGTTTGGATGATAAGAGCAGAAGTTGTGAGAACAGTTGGGGCTCTTCACAGATGAGAACAGAAGTACTCACAAGAGAGTTATCTGACTTCAGGATCATTCAAGAAGAGTTCGGTTCTTCGGGGTATGAGCGTTCTGGAACAGATCATCTGTTAGATGCTGTGGTCTCAGGTGCTTGCTCCTCCTCAAAGCAGATCTCAGATGATACATCAGAGTCCTGCAAAACCACTATGACCAAAGTTAGTAACTCTTCGGTTACCACCACTCCATCTCACAGTAGCCCTCAAGGTAACCAGTTTTACGAGAAGAAACAAGCGGGGACATCATCGGTTTACGGGTCTCAGATCAGTTCTTGGGTTGAACAAGCTCACAGCTTGAAACGTGAGGGAAGTCCAAGGATGATGAACAAGAACGAAACTGCAAAACCGGTTACTAATAACCGGAAAAGACTTAAACCAGGAGAGAACCCAAGACCAAGGCCTAAAGATCGACAGATGATTCAAGATCGTGTTAAGGAGCTGCGTGAAATCATACCAAACGGTGCCAAAGTAAGTGAACAAAGTCTTGGTTTTTCGACAAACCCTTAAAGAGAGATTGTTTACTAACAAATAGTAAAATGTGCTTTCTTTGTTTAACAGTGTAGCATAGATGCGCTCCTTGAACGTACAATCAAACATATGCTCTTCTTACAAAACGTGTCCAAGCATGCTGATAAGCTGAAACAAACCGGTGAATCCAAGGTATAACGCGAATAATCTTGTTTCTGCGTCTTCTCTTAGGTTCTTGATCTGACATTTCTTCTTCTTGTGCTGTTTCAAGAAGATATTGAAAGATGGAGGTGCGTTTGAAGGAGGAGCAACATGGGCTTTCGAAGTCGGATCAAAGTCGATGGTGTGTCCTATCGTCGTAGAGGATCTAAACCCGCCTCGCATTTTCCAAGTTGAGGTAACATTACTACAAGCAAAGATTATAAACATCATATGTTCAAGTTTTAGTGTTTTAAAATTGTTCTCTCCTTGTGGTTGTATTGGTGAACAGATGTTATGTGAACAAAGAGGATTCTTTCTTGAAATCGCTGATTGGATCAGAAGCTTAGGGTTAACGATCTTGAAAGGTGTCATTGAAACTCGTATAGACAAGATTTGGGCTCGCTTTACTGTTGAGGTATAATATTACAAGTTGAAAGTATTTTTTCTTGGTGAAAGATTCAAGTTGTTTTAGATCACTAAAAGTCGGTTTTGAAATTGATTTTTGGATTACAGGCGAATAGAGATGTGACGAGGATGGAAATATTTATGCAACTAGTGAATATTTTGGAGCAGACGATGAAATGTGGAGGCAACACTACTATTTTGGATGGTATCAAAGATACAATGCCTATTACCAAGACCTTACCGGTTACTGGTGGCTGTTCAATGTAGAACCGATTTGAACCGGTTTGGTTAAGGTGGATTATTATAGAGGTTACGAGCGGACCGCTCCAGGATTTAGGCTCGCTATGACTAACTAAAGTCATTCTGAAAAAAGAGATGATTTTTTTTTTTTTTTTTTTTTTAAGTTTCTTACTTTTTGTTTGTACATTTAAATGCTTCCTTTTTTGTTTCTCTTTTGGGCATTTTTGCGAATTTTTATTTCTGTATTGAATCTCATTTGTGTGGATTTTTTGACTTTCAATTATGTGGAGTATGGTATAATTAAAAGTTGTATAATGTGTTTTCATTATATAATTAAGTAGCTATAATCTGATATATATTATTTGTATAATTAACTGAAATAGACTGCGTTTAAATGATTTTGTATTTTGCGGTTTAGTGTTCAAACAATTTCACGAGCTTCAAGGTCGGTAAAACGGTCCATCAACAGCTTTAACAGTACACAAGCTCACATGTGTTTTGTACCTTTATGTGTTACTTGGATTAGTAACTATGTATATTAGTAGCTTATTATTAAAAAAAACAGGGCTCTACTTTCAATACAATTGAATCTTTTTATTAAGAATGTGAGGTTGAGAGAAACATAAGCTATATTGATAGTTACACCACTTTAGTTAACAGCCTTATAATTAAAGTATTTGGTGTTTCACTAATCTGTGATGGATGTCTTAATCCATTCCTAATTTTAATTCTTCAAAAAGTCTTTGAGTTCATACGCATCTGTGGATCAAAATTAGTCTAATGAAGGTCAAATACAATTAAAAGTGTGTGTGATTATCGTAATATGTTTTTTTGATTTCTGCTTTTACCCTTTTGAGGTACCTAAACTTTGCTGCAAAAGGTGTGAACTATTTTGCTTCTTGCTTTTTAGCCTTCTCTCCACTCTACAGATTATGATGGGATAATTGACAGGACATTATGATTCACAAATTTTCATTATATTTTTCTTGGGCTCTTAAATTTCTTCCTCACTTTTAAGATATGCTTCCAATGCTTTATCAACAGACTTACTATGCTAAAGATGTATATTCTTTACATAATACTACTGTATAACTTTTTCAGTTGTAAAAATTAACCACTACGGCTTTCTAGATGAAAAAATGAAAACAAAAAGGAAAAATTGATATCTAATTTAGGGTAAATTGAGTAGATATTACTAAGATATTTAAAAAATGAAAAAGATTAATTTACAATTTCCCTTTAAAATTATATGATTTAGATTATTTGATTTGCTAAGAGATTTTAAAAATGAAACAATTAATTTGCCATTTTCCTTTAAACCAATTTATTATTTGTATGTATATGATCCGTCTCAAAGTCTCAAAGTCACAAAGTTGCACGTCATTGGATTAACACAATCTATTAAAAATCAAAAATAATATGGTCGATATGAACAATGAAAAAAAAAAGATCTGGCTACGACCATCATCTAAATGCATTTCTATTTTCATGAGACTTATTTAAAATACGACCAACTAAAAAACGTTTTCGGTACAGATCCAAGTGAAGAGAAAAAAAAAACAGCAAATCAAATTATAGTGATCTTCAAAGTTAGTCCACAATTTAATAAATGGTTATTGAACAAGGATGAAACCACAAAAGACAATGATTTAAGAAATATGGGGATTATGAAACTTTGACTGTAACAGCATTATTATGTGGTGTATGTGAATTCGAATAGATAAAATAATTATATTTGTTGACGATGAAGAGATTGCGCAAGTGCATGTAATAATGCCTCAAACTATGAAGATGGTAATCAAATGTTCAAAAAAAAAAACTATCAAAATGGTGATATATTGAGTAGTTTTACTTTATAGTTTAATATATACAATAAGAATCCAATAATTAAGCGTGTTAGTCTAAAGTTATTTTAAGATGGAACTGTAAAACGACTTTTAACACGTGTGAGAGGAACCAAAATATGAAAAAGAACTTCTGGTAATTTAAAAGCCGAGTCAACAAGTTTTCTAATTTTTTGGAATATGCTGAGAAAGTTGGAGCCAGTGCATGTCACACTGAAAACGTTACAACAAGAGATAGAATTCCATTTAAATTGTGAGAAACTTTGTAAAAGAGTAAAATTAATATACTATATGCTGCAAAAAATGTGAAACAAAAATACACCATGTCTCTAGCCATCTTTCTTTGTTTCAGAAGTGTGGTGAATAATAAAACATTTACAGGGTTCACAAAATAATGGAACCATAATAAAATGCACTTCGAGTGTATTTATTTATTTAGTCATTGAGATGTGTAAACTCACTGTAGGCAAAACATAAAAAGAATTAAGAATTAAAGTGTCTGATTTAAGGGCGAAACTAATCAAGACTCGACTTCTGAAAGAGGAAGAAAACTGATATTATACAAAGTGGAATGTGATTCCTTGTAAGTGAGTGCGGTGACTCAGCACTTGCATTTTCCTTGCATCTTATTGCGCCACTTCCCCTTCAACTGAAGTACAAAACCGTCAAATCATGAAACCAAGTCAATGACATTTAGCTGTTAATGAATTATTTCATGAACATTTACAATATACATTTTTTTTGGTTTTACATAATTAGGGATCCCAATCCAAAAGTCAGATTTGTCTCGAGCTAAAAAATCAACTTATACCCAAAGTTTATGGAACGTTATGTATTCGATTTTGTCATCTAAACTCTAAAGTCCCCATTCCCTAAATCCAGATGAGTGTTCTAACCAACGAACCACCATTTGTTGATTTTTTTTAAAAAGTATTCTTAATTCTTAAAAAGGTTGGTTAATCTTAGAATCTTTGTTTTCCCATTATAAATTAGATAAAACTTGTCTAAATATGCTTTGATCATGAATTATGAAAATATAAAAGATATAACGGAAGGTGTCTATAATAAGAAATGAGATAAAACTTGCAAGCTATAGCATGCACTTCTTAGTTCTAGGGCAACTTGTGTTTCTGTAAAAAAAAAAAACTTGTGTTTCTGTTTCCCATGATCACATAACAAATAGATTTGACAGGAAGTTGGGTAAGTATTCTTTTAGAATGTGGCTACTTGTCCCTTTTAAAAACAAAAAACAGAGAAAAGAGAACTCATCTACTTTACTACACGTCGTAATCAAGATGGAGTTTAAGTGCTAGTGTCCTTGTATTTAGATTTTTTAGTGGTCATCCTATCTGCGACTTCCATTTTTTCTTTTTCTTGTATAGCATATAATTTGATAAGAAGAAAGTTAATGAGGTTTGTTTCACTAAGCTATTTTCCAAATTTAAGATATTCAAGATGCCTCGATTGAGTTTTCAAAAGGTTGTTCTTACTTTTTTCTCATTTTTGGTATATAGAAACATAGATTAGAGGCTGCAAGTTGTGCTAACCTAGTGAGGCAAAATCTAACCTGGAATTAATTAGAGGCCTCAAATTAACCTAAATATACTGGTTACCATGGTCCACCTTGCTTATACAATATCTCATTATATGTTATGAAAAAAATGATACTTTTGTCTCTTTCCTTTTTAGGCTTAAATCAAGATACAGTGGTATATTAGAATACATGATTTTACTTCAAGATATTGGTGAAGATGTACTACAAGTCATCTTTATATAAATATTTAAGATGTTGTTTATGTTGAAACGAAAAAAATATTCATATAATTAATATTTTAGCTTGTGGTTAACTGTAAGAACGAAGAAGCAACTGAAAAGTGAGAACCCTAAACCTTAGCAAGATAACAAATTCGAAAGAAAAAAAGAACTCTATAGTAAGTACTATACCTAATGCACTTATGTGTGTGTGTACGTATGTGGATACTTTATTAACACACGACAGGCGTGGCAAATGATCTCAAATAAATGGGTTGTTTACATTTTTTGCAAGAATCATTAAAGTATATATGATTAAATCCTATTTAAAATTATCTCAATCTATACATGAATTGTGAGAAATGAATCTGCATGAGTGAATTTATAAGTTTATAATATGGAATAGATTCTAACAATTAATACTATGCATTCATATCTTGTTCCATCGCACATTCAACTTTAGATGAATTATATGTTTTTTTTATCAAACAAAAATAGTAGGCAGCTAAATTAAACATTTCCCATCCTGCACTTAATATTGAGTTAATTAATTTAGAGAACTAGCTATTTGAAATAAACAATTAATAGTATGTTTCTAAAATTACTTTGCTTCTCTCTTAACTTCTAAGACCATCTATCTCAATGAGTCTTTTATTATTAAAAAAAAATAAAAAATAAAAAAGAGAAGAGAGAGAATGAGATGAGTCTCTCATCTAAGAGATTATGAGAGACTCTCAAACCATGTGTTTCTCTACGATTGATTTTTTTTTTTATAAATAAAAATTTAATTATTAAATTAAATTTTACTTAAAATAATAGAATTATATTACATAAAAGACTCATGTGAATCCCTCACCAATGCAGATGCTCTAAGCTATTTTACTAATACTAGCACATTATTATTTATTATTAAAATTTAAACAAAACCAATAATATTTTTTTGATAAATTGTTTGCAAAAGCCATGATATTCAAAATTCATTCTCACTATATAAGTTGTCCATCATATTATCTTTCATTCTCCTTATAAATACGCTTGATCATCCACATCACATGTGATAACCCCCCCCCCCCCCCCCCCCCCCCCCCCCCCACACACACACACACACACACACACAAACACCTCTCTCAACTCTCTTTCTCTCTCTGTGTGAAACTAATAACAAAAGGATCGCTTTAGACAATCGACAGATAGATATGGAAAAAGTCAGAGAGATTCTGAGAGAAGGGAGAAGAGTGGCAAAAGAAGACCCAAGGAGGGTAGTACACTCGTTCAAAGTGGGTCTAGTTCTTGCCTTAGTCTCTTCCTTCTATTATTACCAACCTCTCTACGACAGTTTCGGTGTCAATGCAATGTGGGCTGTTATGACAGTTGTTGTCGTCTTCGAGTTCTCCGTTGGTCCGTCTTCTTTAAGATCCTTTTTGTTATCTATTATTATATTCTTCATGATCATCAACATCATTGACATCAAATCTTATTTTTGGGTGATTACTATGTATTGCATGGCATGCATGTAATACATATTAAGGAATATAAAGTTTTGATAAAATCATGTACGATCACTTGTTATAGCTAAATTTATCAATTTTTTTTTGTTATAATAAACTTAGATGGTGTATATATTTGTAGGTGCCACACTAGGGAAAGGACTTAACAGAGTAGCGGCAACACTATTTGCCGGGGCACTTGGAATCGGAGCTCATCACCTTGCAAGCTTTTCTGGTACAACAGGAGAACCAATTCTTCTCGCAATCTTTGTCTTTATACAAGGTATATATATATTAAGTCTTACATATAAACGCATAATTATAATAAGACATATCGATTGTTCGTTTGCATCTACGCTGGTTTAATTTTTGCATTTGCATGTTATAATATAGGCATATATATCGTTTTACGTTTGACATAGTCACAGCCCAAATCTTATTGATGTTCTTTCATTTTTACGCTTGTTATGGCGTTGCATGTTATAGTATAGCGTTTTACTTCAAAAACGAAACTAAAAGCTTTACATGTAACAGCGCAAGTATTGGTCTTTTAAATAATCACAACCTAAATCTTATAATCAGTAGTTCAGTACTGATCACAATTACAACGCAAAGAATTGGTCTTTGAAATTGATGTTCTTTTTTGGTTGGGTGCTTATAGCTGCGTTATCGACGTTTGTGAGGTTCTTCCCGCGGGTGAAAGCGAGATACGATTACAGTCTGTTGATATTCATACTCACCTTTGCGCTGATATCAGTGTCGGGGTTTCGAGAGGAGCAAGTTCTAATGTTAACACATAAAAGAATCTCCACTGTGATCATAGGAGGGCTCAGTTGTGTCCTTATCTCCATCTTTGTCTGCCCTGTTTGGGCCGGCCAAGATCTTCATTTTCTCATTGCTTCTAACATTGAGGAACTCTCCTTCTTCTTGTTAGGTATATCTATTTAATTATGCTTGTTCTGATTTAATCAGTATAACTTTTATTAGGTTAGTTTGGAACTTTATGTGCTTTGCACTTGGTCACGCGTCTTTCTCGTGAGAAATGTTTCAAGTTATCATATACTCGCTTTCGTATGTTTGTGGATGACTAATAAGAATATGTTAGAGACTGACGATAAAAAAGAGAGAATATGTTAGAGATTGTTTATCTTGTTATAACTCCTCCGCTATAAGAACTAAAATTTTGCAGAATCGTATGAACATCAAATATGCCATGTTAAATTGCATGTTAAAATATGTTAGTTTTGACAAATAATTAGACTGCTTTTTTTATTGTATGGTCGTTGAAGAGTACATTTAAAAGATGGGGACATGCAACTAGATGGGTTGTACATTTAAATTTTGGTAGTGTGTTAGAGTTAAGACATCTTTGGTATTTTGAGGAAAATCATATCTAAATAAATGTTTTGAAAGCAAAAATTAGAATGCTCTCTCTAATATATGATTTTGAAAGTTGCTAAACGCTAGTCAAATGTACAGTCGGGGACATGTAATTTTCATTACATATAACATAATAAAAGAATGTTTATTTTCACTTTCAAGAGAATTAAAAGTTTGAGGATTGGCAGATTTTGGGGACAAGTATTGTGAAACGGTAGAAGATAGTGACACCAAAGAGGTTGACAAACGAAAAAAGGATTTTGGCAACTATAACAGTGTTCTCAACTCAAAAAGCAATGAGGAATCTTTGGTGAGTGGTTAACCCTGATTTTTCCCTTCTTGCTTTATTTTTTATACCACTATATATCTCATTTTATAACAATATACTCATCATTATGTTTGTCGTTTTCTTATTTAGGCTAATTTTGCGAAATGGGAACCTGGTCACGGCAGATTCAGATTCCGGCATCCTTGGAAACAATATCTAGCCATTGGTGGACTAATCCGACAATGTGCTTACCGAATTGATGCCCTGAATTCATATCTTAATGCAGAAATTCAGGTATTGTTTCATTACATATCTTCGTAAAATTGCAATTCAAAAGATCAATCTTGATGAATGTTTTCAGAATTGAAGAGTTTTCAACAACGGTGTTTCTATAAAGAGTGGAGAAAGTTACTCGAAAAAACCACATTTCGTAAGAAACCAAACGAAATGTTCAAACCGAAACCAAATCTAAATTTGTTTAAAACCCGGTTGGTTTTATTTATAATGGTAGCGGTATCCGAACCAAAACCGATTTGAATATATCAAAACAAACCGAACTAGATATACCAGAGTATGATAAACTTTTAAAATTTTAGTTACATTAACATATTTAAAATAATTATAATCAGATTATATAAGCATAACACAAATTATATCATTATATCATTATATCGTTATATCATTACATTTTCAAAGTAATTGTTTTACTAAGATTGAACCGAATTGAAACAAAAAACCAAACCAAAACAAATCCAAATTTTAAGCACCACTCCAAAATATAAATGGTTTAACTCAATTCATAAACAGCATTTCAATTTGCCCACCCCTATTTCTTTATACCTTGTTTGTCTATATATATATTTTCTTTGTTTTACATATTTTCAGGTGTCAATTGGTATAAAAAAGAAATTAGAAGAACCATTGAGAAGAATGAGTTCGGAGTTGGGAAAAGCGATGAAAGAAATGTCAATTTCATTAAAGAAAATGATTAAACCATCTTCTTCTGATCTTCATCTCCAAAACGCACAATCGACCTGCAAAGCCCTCACCAACTTACTTAAGTCAGGCATCTTGAAAGAAGTTGACCCACTAGAATTGATCTCACTTTTGACGGCAATCTCCTTACTCATCGATATTATTAATCTGACCCAGAAAATCTTGGAATCTCTGCATGAACTTGCATCAGCTTCAAGATTTAAGAACAAGATTGAGCCCCCTAAACCAAATGCCAAAAGCATTGTCTGTGGCCGGTCGACCAAATGCCATGATGATCATGTGGTCACAATTGTTCAAGATGATGGTTATAATGATGTTACATCAAAAAATGATAACCGTTCGAACGAGGTTTCGAGCCATGAGAAACATGAAGATTGTGTACATGAGAAACATGAAGATGGTGATACACATGTACATTCGAGCTGTGATTCATATGGTCAAACTAGTATTCGTGTTGTTGTAGGATGTATTGATATTAGAATCCCATGAAATCACAAAGAAATTAAGTATTTTTTTTCTATTTTTATATAGTAACTTATAAAAATTGTTTGATATAACTTTATATAAACATTTACCTTTTTCTATGTGAAATGTTTATAAATCATTGTTGTAAGTATTCCGAGATAATAAAGTTATTAAAACGGTGTTAAGATATCAATCCAAGTTCTATATCGGAAAATTAGATAGTAATGATCTATTATATAAGTAATGTTTAATTCTGATTAGTATGGGGTTTTTTAGAAGAACTTAAAATAAATTTGTGCAGGCTTTGTCACTTGGAACCAAAATGGACAATATCATACTACTAAGTAAGTTGGACATAAGTTTTTCAAGCCCAACAATTGATATCAGAGTCAAGGTTCAAAAAGGTGGACCTCGGGAAGTGGATTGGGTTGCTTGTTCGTTGTGGGAGGAAAGCCTTTAAGGTGACTTTGCGATTAAGGGTGCCGATGACTTGTGTTAAAAATCTTCCTAATAGTGCTCCCAAGGTTAGGTGAAGAGTTTCGTTGGTGCGTACGACGGTACAAGATGGATGCCAAGCTTCACAGAAGATTGGAAACAAAAGGCTTTTATGGTCTTTGACTAGAGAGGATTGTTTGGATATCAGTCCAAGTCCCACATCAGAAGATTATATAGTAATGGTCTAATATATAAGTAATGTCGAACTTTGATTAGTGTGAGACCTTTTGGGATAAACCTAAAGATAAATATATGCAGAATTTGCCTCTTGGGTCTAAAGTGGACAATATCATACTAATAAGGGAGTTAGACATGAACTTTTCAAACCCAAAAAAAAGTATTCATGATAATGATAGTCCTACAAAAATTCATGATAATTAATTATTAGTTTTGGAATCCCATGAAATGGCAGAGAAATAAATCATTTTTTCTATTTTTATATATTAATTTATAAAAATTGTTGAATATAACTTTATATAAACATTTATCTTTTATGTGGAATGTTACTAAATTATTGTTGTAAGTAATAACTTCATCCAAACCCAATATAATGTTGAATATCTTCGCGCTGGAGATGGTAATGGTCGAAGCTGTTGAATCATCAATGATTGTTGCAGTTAGGGGTTTGATTCGGTGACTGGCTAGCCTGGCTTTGTGGCGGCCTAAAGCCTGATATGAAAGAAAGGATTTCCATAAATTCTTTTGATACGCTTCACAAGACGTATTACAGGAAGATGAAGAAGAAAATGGCAAAGGTGGTGGAATAAGTCAAAGATGAGGTGGCAGCTGAGCTGGCCAACGGTTATTAGAGTTTGTTATTCGAGAAGTAGAGTATAAAAACAATGTTGTTGAGTTTGTTACATGTTATCGAAAGTATATAATTGTAAATCCGAAAGCTGTATGAGCTGAGGAACTGAGCGAGATGAGCTCAATGATCGGATCATCATGAGATCCTGATCTGCATTTCTGTACTCTTGATTCATCAATAATACTCTTTATTCCCTTTGAATCTATCGTTTTTCATATCAAAACTCTATCACTGGTGCGGCGAGTTACGAATGAATCAAATGCGATACCAGAGCTAGGAATTTTTAAATAGGCGATTAGCGACGGCGACGAACATGAGAAAGCGATCGAAATCGATGTCCAAAGCAATAATGGCATCCGCAAGCGATTCGGTAAAAGACGGCGAGGTTCCGGAATCGAGTAAGGATATATCATTCCTAAAAGGCGGATACACGAGATTAAACAAATCGAGTGAAGACAGAGCAACGATTATCGAAGATGAATGATAAACTCGACTCGATAATGCGATTCATTGAGCGAACCGAAGTTCGTGAACAGGAGAAGGAGAGTCGTCTGCGAACAGCTCCAGCAACAACAAATCGACCTAGGAATCAGGTATCGAACACTAATCTGGAACAAAACCGGGATCCTTCGCTAGGTTATAGATCTGGGATTTTAAATCTTGCGAATAGAGAGAGTATGTTGCAGAAAATTGAAATGCCTAAGTTCTCGGGACCACTTCCGTTTGTGTGGATTCAAGATGTGGAAAGGTTTTTTGCTGTCGGTCAGTATGAAGATGATGAGAAACTGGAATTGGTAGCACTGAGTATTGAAGGAAGAGTCAAAAAATGGTATACATGGGAAATGAGCAGAAGAGGCTTCCGTAGCTTAGCTGACTCCAAGAAAAAAACTGGCAAAGAGGTTTGCTGAATCCATTGAGGAGGATCCAGCCATCACACTATTCTCAATCAAACAGACGGGTTCCATTGCAGATTATGTCTCAGAATTTGAGGAGCTATCTGAGCTAGTACGTCTCAGAATTTGAGGAAGTAAAAGGAGGCAGCTAAGAGAAAATTTATTGAGAATGAGGAAGGTGCTATTCAATAATTTTCCTAGAAGATTGTGTGTGAGGAAGGAAGCAGCAAACATGACAAGCATAATGATTATGTTTGGAACAACAACATTGGAGACACGCTGGGCCATGAACCACCTCTTCCACCATAAAGACAGTTTGTTAGAACTGTCAAGGTCTAGGAATTGATTAGTCAGTATGACACCTTAAGGAGATAAACATGAAATATTTCTCTAATAGCATATGTCTGTCTGAAACAAAGCAATAATCTGATTATGTGAGAGATGCAGGATGCCAATTGGGCTTTGTTAATCAAGTAATTATTTGTCTAGCAGGATTAAGTGGTTATTTAAGATTAAGTGATAGTTTAGGTTTTTTTAGAAGCATATATTGTAGTTTTCAGTTCTCTAATCTGATCGTTTATAAAGTTATCATAAATAAAATCAGGTTTTTATATTTCTTTGTGTATGGTCACCCAAATTCACAGTTTAAAAACCATGAAAAACTAGAAAGATTGGAAATCAAAAGGCATGGCCAACTGTGGTTTCTATGTGGGGATTTTAATGAGATTCTAAATAATTAAGAGAAAAGAGGAGGAAGAACTCGACATGAGTCTATGTTCAAAGACTTTAAAAGAATGGTTAGGAATTGTGATCTTAAGGATATCAAATTTAGAGGAGATATGTTCTGATATAAGAATGGATCCATCAATTATTATTACACGAATCAAATCTTCAAGCTATTTACTGGAGAGGTTGATGATGAATTGTAACAGGTTGTGTCTGATTCCACAAACATGGTTTTGAGTCTTTATTTTCCAACGGCTCTTCCTCGCATGGGCTCCTGGATTCTCCACAAGAATTTCAAAGTTTTGATTTCACAAAAATTTAGAAAACTTGCAAGGAAAAGATGATTTAAAGGATACTTTCTTTAGAAACAACAAAGGGGATGGCGGCCGGGGGGGGGGGGGGTTCTATAATAATTTGGTTAATGTGAAAGTACAAAGTTCAAGAGCTTATATAGTACTCGAAATAAATGAAATAAAACGGTAATAATGACTAAAAATAAGCATGGTTCTTGGTGTAACAACTTAATAAAAGAATGCTTAAGTTTGGCTTGATTTGGTCTTCTAGCCGTTATCATAATGAAGGAATGGGAATGTGTATGGCTTGATTTGTGGTGACGAAATGGGGTTAATCTTTGACTATTCTGTCTTGTAGGGACGTTCAGGATCTGCTTGAGAGGATGGAGGGTCGAGATGAGAAGATGAAGGTGTCATTTGCTTATGGTTTCCTTTGGAGATAAAGTTAATGAACTTATAAAAGGAAACTTTTTCTTTGGAAGATTGTCCTTAGTTTTAGCATGGTTGGGCTCGGTTATTGACTTGGTTTACTGATCCTGAATGCCTTGATATCTTCTTAGGTGGTCAAATGACATGTTTGGTCGAATAAAATGTTTTATTGCTTCTAGTCTCCATGAATGGCTTCATATATTCGCATGTAGATCCACATATGTTAATGCTTGGTTCTTCTTTAGTTTAAATTGAGTGGCTCCGGTTATTGGCTTGGGTTTGAGCTTGTATATCTTCTTTTTGGGTCGAATATAATGTCTTGCAGCTACTGGTTTCCATAAATGGTCTTGAAAATGTGAATGTTGGTCCATTTATGCGATTTGGTGGTTTTGGTGGTTTGGCTTGGTCTTTTTGTGAATTAAACTGGACCGGCCATGGTTTATCTTGATCAGAACGTCCTCCTTGATGTATAGAATGACAATGTTTTGGTTTCAGATACTTGTTCTCTTTGCAAAACAACTTCCAGCTTCCTTTGCTCCTCTTGTATAAGCATGTTTAGCTCCAAGTCAGCTTCTGTATTATCTCCAACATCTAAGGTGAGTTATCTTGTCCTCATCAGGACCTCTTGTGCATGATAAAGATGTTCACACTATGTTATATGTTGTTTGGATTAGTACATGTCAAATGGTGAATAGCTAGCAATTTCCAACTTTAGAGACTGAATTTCTAGAAATTGGAGAATCTGACCATGGACCCATATTAACTTTTTTTTAAAAAAATCTCTGTTGAGATTAAAGATAGGAGATTTGGTTTTACATATGATAAATGAATGCCAAACAAACAAGGTTTCAGAGAAGCGATAGTCCATGACTGGAATATTTGCAACAATAGAGTGACCTCTAATATATCATGGTTTTTATGGTTTTTAACCATGATATAAGTCCTTTTTATTGAGTCTTTTTGGTCTTTTTAGAGTCCTAGAAGAGTCTTTGCAGGTTAAAGCATGTCTGGAGCATAATTGGAGATATTGGAACCTTTTGGAGCATTCTGAGTTGAAGCCACGAAGTACCAAGATCGAAGCAGAAAGTATTCACTAATGGTGACGATCGTCACCCCATTGGTGACGCTCGTCACCCAGATAGGAAGGAGCGTGGCTATTTGTTAAAAGTATCAAGAAGAATTGTAGAACTTACCCAGAAGTTTCCTTTATTTATATGAAGACCCCAGATCGTGTTTAGCCCATATTTATTAGGTTTTTCAGCCACTGTTGGCAAGACTCTTAGTTTTTGAGAATTCAGAAAGCTAGAGAGAGATTTTATTCAGAGCTTTTTGGGGAGACAAATCCTGTACTCTTTAGAGAAGATTTCGAACCCCCTTTGTTTTCTACTCTTTCTCTTAATGCAATTTTATTCAGTTATGCTTTGTGATCTCATAATCATGTCTGAGTAATCTGCTAGTTAAGTTAGGGTTTTTCAAAGGTTGATGAAAAGAGTGTAGAATCGCTATCTGTTAGGATTATCTCATGGTTTTTCATCTCTG